GTTTCTATGTATATCGTTTATATCGCCCACCCCTAGCGGTGCTTTCACATGACTTTCAGTCTTCATATTCTGTTTGTCACCATGTAACGTGTGTCAGTGTGGTTATATATGTGCGCCAATAACTTTCAGGTTAAAATGAATGTTTTTGTCCTGCATCTAAAACAAGAAAAGTTCATAATAATAATAATCAATAATAATAATAATCAATAATAATCAATAATCAAATAATAATAATAATAATCAACACCTATCCTTTCAGCTCCTTACTGTCTATTTAAATAACAGTCTTATCATTATTACCCACTTATCATCAATCATTTCAAAGAATAATGCCACACCTCTCACCTGGAAACCAACAGATGGATTAAAGTTTTGCCTTCAGGTGTGTTTAGATCACGGAGAAAGAAACGCACTCCGAGCACGGAGTCAGCAAACTGAACGTGCATTATCTCACTTTCACTAGTCCAGTTTGCCTCGATGAGCTGTAACTCTGCTGACCTCCATTCGTGTGCATTTCAGGACAGATTATGAATGAATGAATGAAGAGAGTGCTGAACTGACGCTAACTTCAGCGGCTCGGCCCGTATCGAGGGGAGGGCGGGTGGGGCGGGGAGGGCGGCAGCATCTGATGCTCCTAAGAAGATTTACTCTCCTTTTTTCACCCACTTTGTCTACAGCTTGTCTTTCAGTCTTATTTGCTCTCTCTTCACTTGCTTCCTCACTTTGTCGGTCGCCTCATTCTCTCCTTTGTGCCAGCTGTCACATCCTCCCTGGCAGCAGTGCTTCCACTGGACGCTCCAAAAAAGCAAAAACCAAGCTGGGTCCTAATTTGATGCTTTAAAGTCATCAGCTTTTCCTACTTTAGAAGCCGGAAAATCTTAAATCAGCAACAGAGTTTTAAAGCTCACTGTCTTTATTTAATACAGGCTGGAACCAGCCACTGAGATCTTAAACGATCTGTTGCTTTGCTTTAACATGTGTTAAATATTTATGTCATGTGGCTTCATTAGCATTCGAGGAACCGGCCAACTCTAAAACCAAAGTGATGCCAAAGAATTCTTGTTGAAGAACTCATTTTACATTTTATTGAGACGTGAATTTCTTAACTCCAGGGAGAGAAAAGGGAACAGCTGCTGGGTGTGGTTGTATACGTTTTGTCCCTCTTATGGGACAGCCTGTTAGGCTAGTGATACTGTAGGAGCCACAACCATCTATTCTTACCCCCGGCTACAGGAACTATCACCCGTCATCCCCTGTGAAGGAGATGTTGGTGCCTGTCAGTCGGCCTCTGCTACAGTGAACTCATCTCTTTAACGTAGGTGAAGCTCAAAGACTATAATCCACCCAGCACGTGGTGCTGCATTATTGTGGACAACTAATGCTACAACCAGACAAACTCTTCCTATTGGAATCCTTTTTACCTCAGACTAAAGTTATACATATACAAACAACCGAGTCCCAAACAGTTGATTCTGTTCTTTTGGACATAGTGGTGCTAGTTTCAGTCATTATGCAAATATGAGATGAGGGAAACCTGCAGTCAGCTGAGACTGAAGAAGTCACCTGGATGACCAGGTGAACAGAATCAGCTTTTTGGGATTTACTCAGCCGGATGATGAAGCGTGCATCAAGACGACCCCCTGGGTGCTTCATGGTTGCTTTTTGCCACCCTGTCACACACACACACAAAACCTCCACAGATGAAAAATGAAGCCAATGCTGCAGTTCTTCTTCTTCTGAGTCCTTGCAGACTGTCATTAAATGGCCCACTTAACAGCAGATGTTTAAAGCCTTGGTCCTCCGCCCTGAGAGCTGCTCTGCATGGGGTGAAGACTTAAACGTTATTTGGGGATAATTAAGGACTCGACCGCTTTGATGCTGGTTTCACTTCCAGTAACTGGGAGTCACTGAGCCAGACCTCTCACCTGTGCTGTTGGTGTCTTTCAAAGAATTTCCAGTGAAGTTATCTGACAAAAAAAACAGCTTTCAATCTTAAAAGTCCTGCCAAGAGTCTCCTCCAGTTAAAAATCTCTCATCCTCCTTGCCCGTGAGGTGCAGAGTCCACTACAGGTGCACCTTGTTAATCAAGCACACTAGTGTCTGCACTTCCACCTGCACAGAGGCTGCTGCGATGCTTGATTTGAGGCTTCAGAATGTGAGTTTGCACGTTTTCAATGAGGTGGCTAAGTCAATGTTTTTTTTACACGTATTGTTGATGTGATTGTGTGTTTATGGGCCTCAGCTCATCCATGAGAAACAAGAAAACATTAAACAAAATTCAGTTTTATTCTTTGTCTTTAACCCGAGCCCTGCGTCGTAATGCAGAATATCGACAGCAACAGTTGGGAGGTCGTGCTCTAATTCCGCCTCCTTCTTGTGGGGCTGCTACGTTGCAGCATTAGCACGTCTCGCCACTCTGTTGTGTCTCGGCTGACTTTGCTGTCCCTCGGCCCCTCCCGGTGTCCCTGACCCGTCCCCATTTGTCCCTGTTGTTCGAGGGCGAGCAGCAACTGGACAGATGTTGTGGGCCATCAGTGTGATCAGCAATAGTGAAGGGAAAGGATTTAGTGGGTGTTAAAGCTGTGACAGTGTTTCCATCTGATGTGTCAGCGTCATGCAACGACGCCGCACCAGCAGTTTGTGCCGATGGCGCCCGTGCTCCTCTAGGTGTTTCCTCTGATTGGTTCTCTGCTTTCAGTTTGCCCACGACTTTATTTGTAACACCAGAGATTAATCTTTTGTCTGCATTCTTT